AGGCGCACAGCGGCAGCTCCTCCACCCAGCCCCGTGTCGGCAGGAATTCTCAGCAGGCCAGCAAGGGTCAGAGGCCACCGCTTTGTGCCATGAGTGGGACACAATGGCCAGGACAGGAGCAAATCCAGACTGAGGTTTGTGACTTGAGCCTTCATGTCTTGTTTAAGCAGAGCCGCTGCTGTCCCAGCGTCGTCAGTCTCCCAGAGAAGGCTGGGTGGGTTCTGCCTTGGCAGTGGCAGGATAAAGGAATAAGAGGGGAGCCGGGTCCCGAGGGCCACCGCTTTGTGCCATGAGTGGGACACAATGGCCAGGACAGGAGCAAATCCAGACTGAGGTTTGTGACTTGAGCCTTCATGTCTTGTTTAAGCAGAGCCGCTGCTGTCCCAGCGTCGTCAGTCTCCCAGAGAAGGCTGGGTGGGTTCTGCCTTGGCAGTGGCAGGATAAAGGAATAAGAGGGGAGCCGGGTCCCGAGGGAGGGGCATCCCCTTCTTTAGCCATGCCAGCTGCCACACTCCTCTGAGGCAGGGGAAAGGGCTCCCCACAGATCCCCCAGACAGGGTGGGATCTAGCCTGGCTGGCGAATAGAGACCAAATCCCGTTCTAGCCCCATTGCTGAATTACACTGCAGCCAGACAAAGAGGGATTTTGACAGCCCAGCCCAGGACACTCAAAGGAGTGCCCAGCAGCATCTCTCGCGGGGTGCCCCAAATCACCAGTCCCTTTGGAAATCTCATCCCAGGGCTGGCGTGGGGCTGTTAGGACCCATTGGCCCCCAGCCATGTGACGACACAATCCCCAATGGGGTGGGAATGCCAGGTTGGAACTGGACAGACACCAGCCCTCCGGATCCGTTTGCTCCCCTTTCCCAGCCTGCCAGGATGGAAGAGAACAAAATTCTGCACTTACATGGCGGTGGATTCCTCCGCATGGTGTCCCGGTGGCCGGATGACAGCAAAGCCATTCTGCACAGAGAACGAGAGAGCTGGGGTTAGGGTTAGGGACGCACAACTGGGCTCCAGAAAGGCCGGGGCAGGGGTCTCAGCGCAGCGGCAGCCATGCGTCCCCTGCTCCAGAGGCGAGGAAACACACCGCAGCGGTAAGGGGACTTGCTCGAGGCCACACAGGAATCCTCGGCAAAGCTGGGAATAGAAGCCAACAGTCCTGACGCATCTTCTCTTGCTCTAATGACAAGACCCAGCTTGGCCAGATTTGTGGGTGCTCAGGCCCCAAGGTGAGCAGTCCTGTGGTCGCAGGCAGAGACGTCCACGCCTCGGTCTCCCCGTGACAGTGTGCTCAAGCCAGAGGAATACTGGGTACCCGCAGCCCAGGCTGCGTCCCCCTCCACTGGTTCCTGGGGCAGGGGGCATTCTGCAGGAGCCAGCTGATGGAGACAGACTTCCAGTGCATATGGTCTGGATGTGACCAAACCCAGAACCCCTGGGACACTCCAGCCCTGACTCGATCAGAGCTTTCTTTCGTCCTGCAGTGTAGACGTAGCCTCTGTGACCCAGCTCCTTATGAATTCAGAGCCTCAAGCACCAAAATCACAATCCCCAACCCCTCCGGCAACAACAAGCCCCTGAGGGCAGGAGTGTCTTTTGTTCAGCATACATGTGACAAATAAGGAAGACAACAGCAGGGCGTTGCAGTGGCCATGCTCCGCCACTAGAGGGAGACTTGACTGAGCATCCCAAGCCCCTGGTTGCATGGGCAGCCTCACCTTGAGCTCCCCGGAGGCCACCTTGAAGGCTAACTCCACCAAGCAACCCACGGCCATGCGGACGGCGCTAGATGAGTGCATCTCGTTCCACACGGTGTCACTGTCCACCTGCCCAGAAAGGCAAGTTGGGCTGTTACCAGGACCAGCCTGGGGGCACAGCGCAGCCCCTCCCCCAGCCACTAGCTCCACCCCCGGGGAGCTACTCACCCCGATGCCACCGCAGGGCAGGACCGCGTACATCTTCTGGCTGATGGGACCTGGGCAGAGCAGAGGGAGCAGTGACTGACAGCCAAGTCCTCATGCCCCTGCCTGCGGAGAGCACATGGTCCCCCTCCCCCCAGATCCAGACCATGGAGCGGATGTGGCAGGAGTAGCTGCCCGGACACATCCTCCCACTAAGGCTGCGGCCCAGCTCCTGCCCCAACAGCTGGTTGGACTTGGCCCAGCTGCTCCATTGTCCAGCTGCTCACCAGAGCAGAGAGGGGTCCCCGCCCAGTCTGTCCACCAGGCAATGCTCCCATTCAGATCCAGGGAGAGACCCAGTGCCTCTGCTCCAAACACTAGGCCATCTTCCCCTCGCTGAGCCAGGAAAAGTGGGTCACTCTGCTCTAACCATTATGGAACATTCCCCTCCCTTTCTGATCCAGGAAAGGCTGGTCCCCTCCCTGAGCCAGAAAAAGCTGGTCTCTCCGACTACCGGCCCCCCCTGCTCTGAACGCAGGAGTCCTGACTCCTTGCCTCTGGCTCTAACCACTAGGCAGTGCTGGCTCGGCTAGATTAAAACCAGGCAGCAAAGGCTTTGCCCCTGCCACACACACTCCTCAGGGAGAGCGAGCAGCCCCATCTGCCTTCTGCCGCAGCCAACAGCAGAACGCCCAGGGCCCCAAGTCACCCTCAGACCAGGCACTGCAGGGGCTGCCTACCTAGCAGCTTCTTGCTGTCGAGTTTCTGCCGGTTGAGGGGGCTGGTTCCATACAGCAACGTGTGATGCTCTGAATGGACTGTCTGGATTTCATCCAGCGTGGCTTTCCTGCCCCGGATCCGCTAGAGGAGAGAGCAGGGTGAGGACGGGCCCTGGCTGTGCCTGGCCAGACAGTCCCAGGACTGTCGCTGTCTGGAGGCAGCTGTGCTGGAAAACCTGTCATATGCTGGGGGCACGTGGCCATGAGCCCAGCACAAAGAGCTCACGAGCAGCCTGCTCCACAGGGGCCAGCTGCAGCCGGCAGTGGCTGGATCAAGTCCTTTCCTGTGGGGCAGGAGGGCAGGGGTTGGGCTCCCTGCATTCAGAGGCTGTGCAGAGCCCTCTCCAGCCCTCGAGGAAATTCATAGCCACCCCAGAGCTACTTTAAGCACTAGCGCACTTCCTACCGCCCCCTACAGGCCCGGGGCTGCAGAGACCAGCAGCAGCACAGACCACTGGGGCTAAGCTGGGGGGTGGGTTCTCCGTGGGCTCTTGCCTCCCCTTGGAGCAGTGTTAAATGCAGCCGAGAACTGGACCCTGCATTTTCCCAAACTGAGAAGCGTCCCAGGGTGCAGGGTGAGCGACGCGCTAGCCGCCCCCGAGCAGCCTGGCTGTGGTAGGGGCGCTCTCTGCTCCACGCCGGGGGAACCCAATCTCACTGCCCCTCTGGTGGGCAGCTGGCCAGACTGTACGGTCTGTCCCCCTCAGACTCTTGCACTAGGAAGGCTACGTGTGCGCCCAGCCCCACCGGCCACTCGCCCTGGTTTGATGGGCTGGCACAGCCCAGCCTTGCGGTCCAGGCACTGCTTTGCCTCAGGCGGGTAACCCACCGTTTTGCGGTGGGGACGCAACCTAAACCCTTTGCAGGCCGAGCCCTCCAGCGTTGTCCCGCAATCCCCCCGCCCCACCTGCCCAGGACAGCCATGATCTCCCACAATGCACTGGGAAAGACTCCCAGAGTGCGTCAGCCACGGGCTGCACCCCCAGAAGTCCTAGCGACATACACAAGGGCCCATGTGACTTGGGCAGGGCTTTGCTCGCGCAGGTGGGGTCCCAACACTGGCCCTGAGTCTGCAAAGAAGAGGCAGGAGATGGGGCCGGACATTCAATCACCCTCCTGCCAGGCGCGGTGCCAGGGCGCAATGGGGGCCACCGCTGAGGTGAGACAATCAGCCCCGCCCCGCCACATGTCACTTGACACAAGGCTCGACCCTGCGAGCTGCAGCTAGATGCCCTCCTGCACTGCGGCCCGGGCGTTCGCCCAGAGCCCTTACCTCACACTTGTTCAGCAAGCCAGTCTCCTGGAGCCGGGACCAGATGCTCTGGATTCTCCCAGCATGCTCTGGGTGAATGTTAGTGTTCCCGCACATGCACTGGTGCTTTAGCATAAAAGTGTCGTAGACCACGCCTGGGGGAGAGACAAGGGAGGAGGCAGGAAGTACGGGCTGTACAGTGAGACCCATGCGGCTGTGGAGCAGCCCGCAACCCGAGGCAAAGCCCTGGGGTCAGCGTGTGTCTGGCCCACCTTGGCTGGCAGGGTGCTCTGGTGGAAAGACAGAGGTTGCACAAGCGTGTAGGACCAGAGGCCTCAGGTTTGCGCACTACTGCTTCCCCAGAGACAGGCTGCCCAACTACTCAATTCTCACTTGCCCAGCTTCTGCCGCGGCGTTTCAAAGCGACAGCATCATGTGGAGCCCGGGGTCAGTCCCCAGCTGAACCCAGGCTCTGTGCAGCGCTGCCCCTTCAAAACGCCGCCCCTTCGAAATACAGCCATGGCATTTTAAAGCGACAGTGCCGCATGGAGCCCAGCATCATCTGGGTACTCCCCAGCTGACCCCAGGCTTCATGCAGCGCAGCCCCTTCGAAACGCCACCATGGCATTTCTAAGGGTATGTCTACACTACAACGTTAATTCAAACTAACTTAGTTCGAATTAGTTAATTCGAACTAAGCTAATTCGAACTAACGGATCCAGACTAAAAAACTAGTTCGAATTAGCGTTTTGCTAATTCGAACTAGCATGTCCACATTAAGTGGACCCTGAACCAGGCTTACGGATGGCCGGAAGCAGTGCCGGCAGGGCATCAGAGGAGGACTTAGAGCGTGGAGATGCTGCCTCAGGCTAGCCGAGGGCTGTGCTTAAAGGGTCCCGACCCCCACCCCGGACAGACAGTTCTCAGGGGTGCCCCACTTGCAAAGCAGTCCTGGCTTGGAGTGCCCGGACTACCCACACTAGGCACATCACACCACTCGGCCATCAGCCCGGCTGCATTTGCCGCAGGCTGTCATCTGGGGAGAGGGAGCAATTGGGGGGCTGCAGGAGAGTTTCCACCCCCAGAAGCCCGCAGAGCCAGCCCAGTCCTCCCCATCGGGGGCTCATGCCCCATTCCTCCCTCACCTCCTTCCACTTACCCTTCCCTAGCCCCTCTTCTTGATGTACAAAATAAAGATAACGTGTCTTCCAAAATGGAATCTGTCTTTATTGAACAAAACTGGGGGAGACTGGGAAAAGGAGGTGGGAGAGGGGAAGAGAGAGGGTGGGAGAGGGGAGGGCAACTAAAATGATCAGGGGTTGGGAACAGGTCCCATATGAAGAGAGGCTAAAGAGACTGGGACTGTTCAGCTTAGAAAAGAGGAGACGGAGGGGGGACAGGATAGAGATCTCTAAAAGCAGGAGTTGGGTGGAGAGGGTGCATACAGAAAAGTTCTTCATTAGTTCCCATAAAGAAGGACTAGAGGACACCAAAGGAAAGGAATGGGTAGCAGGCTTCAAACTAGTAACAGAAAGTTGTTCTTCACAAAGCAAAGAGTCAACCTGTGGAACTCCTTGCTGCAGGAGGCTGTGAAGGCTACAACTAGAACAGAGTTTAAAGGGAAGTGAGATCAAGTCATAGAGGTTGGGTCCATGGAGTGGTATTAGCCA